CACCACCTTGTCAAAGGTCGACGCGTCAAGTTACGCATGGACAACAGGACTGCGGTGTCGTATGTGGCATGACAAGGAGGGACAAAGAGCTCATCGTTACTGAAGATCACTTTACATCTCTTTCCTTGTGCGGAACTGCATCTCCTGGATTTGACGGCGTCTTATCTGCCGGGAACGGAGAATCAGGAAGCGGACAGGTTGAGCCGACAGTTTATGGATCCCCATGAATGGTCCTTGAACCCCAAGTATCTGCGGCCGTTCTTCCAGCGGTGGGGGGCGCCTCGGATAGATCTCATGGCATCCAGGAACAACTCTCAGCTTCCGAGGTTTTACTCCCATCTCTTTTGCCGGGGGGCCCTGGGTCAAGATGCCCTCTCCCTCCCTTGGCGATTCAGCAGTGTCTACGTCTTTCCTCCCACTCCCTTGCTTCTCTGGACGCTTTAGAAGATCGACAGGGAAGGGGTTTTAGCGCTTGTGGTCCTGCCTTGCTGGCCGAAGAGGCCATGGTTCCCCCTACTCATGGAGCTGTGGGTCAAAACACTAAGACCTTCTCCTCCAGGGCGAGTATTACCACCCGAATGTGGCACGTCTGCATTTGATGGTCTGCAGATTGAGAGGCAGAGTCTTCAGAGCCTACAGCTCTCGGCATCGGTGGTAGAGACCCTGTTAAAAGCTACTAAGCCATCTACTAAGATGACTTATCACTGCGTCTGGGAGAAGTTCCTCACCATGGCAGCACAGAAGGGGTGGTAGTCGGATAACCCGTCGTTGGGGAACATCCTGGATTTTCTACAGTCAGCTCTTGACACAGGTCTAAGCTACAACGCTCTTTGAGTCCAAATTTCAGCCTTATCGGCGTTAACTAAGTGTCGTTGGGCTAATAATGCTGTTGTACATCAGTTCCTGCAAGCAGCCATGAAGTTGAGGTCTCCAGTGAGACCACTGTTTCCAAAATGGGACCTTCCCTTGGTTCTGAGGGCACTGCTGATGGCACCATTCTATCCGCTAGCTTCATGTTCTCTATAATATCACCTCACTCTCCTTTCAGTCTTCATCACCGCAATTGTCTCCGCCAGGAGGGTATCGGAGCTGCAAGCTTTTTCCTGCAAATGGCCTTATTGTCAAATTTTTCAAGACCGGATAGTATTGCGACCTGTTCCTTCGTTCTTACCAAAGGTTTCCTCAGTGTTCCATTTTAATTAAGAATCGGTCCTCCCGGCCCTGAAGAGTGAAGTACTGTCTTCTGAGGATGAGTATCTTGGGAGATTAGATGTGGTCAACATACTCTCCACTTACTTGCTGAGAACGGAAAGCTTTCGTTCCACCGAACGGCTGTTTGTGATGCCCGGAGGTCCGAAGAAGGGGGCGCCTACTTCCACAAGGATCTTATCCACATGGGTGGTGAGGGCTATCCAGCGTGCTTATAAGGCAGCGGGTCTTCCCCCTCCGCAAAAAAATCAGGGCTCATTCTACGAGGTCGCTAGCTACGTCTTGGGCAGCCTAAGCTAAGGCTCCAGTAGAGGTCGTCTGCAAAGCAGCGAGTTGGTCGTCCTCTAATACCTTCATTAGACACTACAATGTCGATGTGTCTAGCTCTGCGGGTGCAGCCTTTGGCACATCCATACTCTCTTCCATACATCCATACTCGTGTGTTTTGTTGCTAGCTATGTCCCATTAGTATGCCGACATGAGGTGAGCCAGGAAAACTGAAAATTGTTATTACATACTTACCGTAATTTTCCTTTCCTGGCTCTCCTCATGTCGGCATAGCTACCCTCCCATGCCTTCGCTCGGCGTGCTATAGAACACGTGTGTGGTGGGAAGGGGGGGGGATTTATACTCTTGTTAGGGTTGGTCCTATTGGGAGCCGGGGGCGGGGTTAACCCATTAGTATGCCGACATGAGGAGAGCCAGGAAAGGAATTACGGTAAGTATGTAATAACAATTTTCCATTATATATAAAACCTGTGGGCATAGGGTTCTATTTTTGGAGGTTATTGGGGGGGTTTTTTCTCTTCTTTTTCTATAGGTTGAACTCGATGGACTTGTCTTTTTTTCAACCTGACTAACTATGTTAACTATATATACAGTATACATGTACAGTATATGCACATTATTCATGGAACTGTGTTTAGCGGATAAAGATTCTACTTTACAGCTGTCATGTAATAAGAAAAATAAATCGTTTTAGATTGTAAACGCTCTCGGGCAGGGTCCTCCTTACCATCTTGTCTTGATTTGTATTGTCATTAATATATCTTCCTTATATTGTAAGGCGCTGTGCAAACTTTGCGCCAGTATGTGTTCGCTCACTTCCCGATCAACTGAGCCGCCCTGTGACAGTTTCATTGTCACAGGTCGGCTCAGATTATGAGGCTGAGTGAAAATCACTTGCTTCATAGTTCTCCTTTAAGGAAAATGTAACATGATGGTGGAATGGAGTGCAGGGATAGAGAGGACGGGTATGATGGTGGAATGGAGCGCAGGGATGGAGAGGATGGGTACGATGGTGGAATGGAGCGCAGGGATGGAGAGGATGGGTACGATGGTGGAATGGAGCGCAGGGATGGAGAGGATGGGTACGATGGTGGAATGGAGCGCAGGGATGGAGAGGATGGGTACGATGGTGGAATGGAGCGCAGGGATGGAGAGGATGGGTACGATGGTGGAATGGAGCGCAGGGATGGAGAGGATGGGTACGATGGTGGAATGGAGCGCAGGGATGGAGAGGATGGGTACGATGGTGGAATGGAGCGCAGGGATGGAGAGGATGGGTACGATGGTGGAATGGAGCGCAGGGATGGAGAGGATGGGTACGATGGTGGAATGGAGCGCAGGGATGGAGAGGATGGGTACGATGGTGGAATGGAGCGCAGGGATGGAGAGGATGGGTACGATGGTGGAATGGAGCGCAGGGATGGAGAGGATGGGTACGATGGTGGAATGGAGCGCAGGGATGGAGAGGATGGGTACGATGGTGGAATGGAGCGCAGGGATGGAGAGGATGGGTACGATGGTGGAATGGAGCGCAGGGATGGAGAGGATGGGTACGATGGTGGAATGGAGCGCAGGGATGGAGAGGATGGGTACGATGGTGGAATGGAGCGCAGGGATGGAGAGGATGGGTACGATGGTGGAATGGAGCGCAGGGATGGAGAGGATGGGTACGATGGTGGAATGGAGCGCAGGGATGGAGAGGATGGGTACGATGGTGGAATGGAGCGCAGGGATGGAGAGGATGGGTACGATGGTGGAATGGAGCGCAGGGATGGAGAGGATGGGTACGATGGTGGAATGGAGCGCAGGGATGGAGAGGATGGGTACGATGGTGGAATGGAGCGCAGGGATGGAGAGGATGGGTACGATGGTGGAATGGAGCGCAGGGATGGAGAGGATGGGTACGATGGTGGAATGGAGCGCAGGGATGGAGAGGATGGGTACGATGGTGGAATGGAGCGCAGGGATGGAGAGGATGGGTACGATGGTGGAATGGAGCGCAGGGATGGAGAGGATGGGTACGATGGTGGAATGGAGCGCAGGGATGGAGAGGACCGGTATGATGGTGGAATGGGGTGCAGAGGGAGGACATGTATGATGGTGGAATGGAGTGCAGGGATGGAGAGGATGGGTATGATGGTGGCATGGGGTGCAGAGGATGGGTATGATGGTGGCATGGGGTGCAGAGGATGGGTATTATGGTGGAATGGGGTGCAGAGGATGGGTATTATGGTGGGATGGGGTGCAGAGGATGGGTATGATGGTGGAATGGGGTGCAGAGGATTGGTATGATGGTGTAATGGGGTGCAGAGGATGGGTATGATGGTGGGATGGGGTGCAGAGGATTGGTATGATGGTGTAATGGGGTGCAGAGGATGGGTATGATGGTGGGATGGGGTGCAGAGGATTGGTATGATGGTGTAATGGGGTGCAGAGGATGGGTATGATGGTGGGATGGGGTGCAGAGGATTGGTATGATGGTGTAATGGGGTGCAGAGGATGGGTATGATGGTGGGATGGGGTGCAGAGGATTGGTATCATGGTGTAGTCTACAACGGGTCCACTCCTGACTTACTTTCAGATCGTGGGCCCTTGATTGTCGGCAGGCCAGCGGCGAGTGAGGGAGCTTGCGGTGAGGGAGCTCACAGCGAGGAGGAGAGCAGCGGCGTGCGCGGCTTCAGCGTCCTGTGCGGTGGGCGTGGCTTAAGCATCCTGTGCGGCGGCCGCGGCTTAAGCATCCTGTGCGGCGGCCGCGGCTTAAGCGTCCTGTGCGGCGGGAGCAGCGTGTGACGTGCGGCTCAGGCCGCGTGTGGATCCCCGAACAGGCTAATCAATCGATAGGCGACGAATCGACTAAATCGGTTAACTGTTGCAGCTCTATAACCCACTAAAACCCACATTTTCACATTGCACAGAAAAACACTGTATATATAATGCTTAAGTTCCACTACATGCATGAAAAATCTGATGGAGGCTGCACACTAAAAAATATAAATCCTTCAGGCTGCACATTCAAAATGTTTCAAATGTTTATATGAAAAATCTCATTAGAACATTTGATTATGCCCTCAGAGCCTTGACTAATGTTGTTCAAAATTTTGTTTTAATATTTGACTTAGGAAATGTTCTTGAACAAAAATTAAATTCACTGTTAGATAAAAATATTTTCCATCCTGCTCCTTGATTTTTCTGCCACTGCGGTCAAAAATGTTCCTCGATTTGACTAACTACTATTAGAAAAACACATTCTGAAAACTATTTCTTCGAATTAAATTCTACTGGTGTATGATCAGCGTTACTAAAGCTGGACAGTGACCAGGCTGAACTTATTATGGGGATTTGGTTGCAAAACATCTAACCCACTGCACACAGACTATGAATTACAATATTGTTCATGACAACATTGGCAATCTATCAGAAATGTCAAGTTCTTCACAATGTTGGTTTTAATTACACAATTAGGATTTAAAGTTCTCAAACAAAAGTTAGAGGAGCTGACTTACCACCTGGCAGCTGGGAACACTGGACACAAATTGTGCACCTTGACATCCCAAGATAAAACCAGCCAAGTTCAAAAGGACACAGACTACAGACAGCATTACAAACAGGTTGACCTAGTAAAAGAAAAAAGACAGTAACTAGGTTGAATTTCTTCAGTATTTTTACATAAAATATTGTTGTTTTTTTTTAATTCTTTATATTTTTTTCTTTGATGACTACATGGTAACATTCACAGTTCTGCTTCCACTTAAATATAAATACAGCTGCTTTCAGTTATTTCCATCTAGCTAATACATTCATTATTCCCAACTGTATCATGTTTTCATCATTACCCAATATTATTTTCTTTACCTCACTCCCCCCAACCTACCTTCCCCGAAAACAAACAAAACGCACAAACAAACAAGGAAGAGAAGAAAAAAAAAATCCAGTGCAAGACCCCGAGTTTTAAACTATCTCCGTAGTCTCTTTAAATATCTGTAGTAATAGGTAAACTAGATATAATATTCCCGTATTCTTGAGAATTAGTGAATCTCATCTAAATCAACCAGGTATCTCCGAATTTCACTTCTCTATGATACAGAGATGCTGTAAGTTCCTCCAGATCTCTAATGTCAGCAATATTAGAGAACCACAGTATCTCCTTTCTCCAGTATAAGGGTATGCATATTCTTGCTGCATTGACTAAATTTATTAGCAATGAGTTCCTATATCTCTTCCCGGAGAGGGGGAGAGACATGTAACAAATAGGCTGCCGGATTCTCCCCCATCTCCAATCCAGTTAATCCCTTAATGTGTTTCTTAACTTGGTCCCAAAAAGGTGGAATTTTGGGGCACCAAAATATGTGAAAAATACTTCCCTCTCTATTCCCACATCTCCAACATTTATCTGACTCTTCCGGTTTAGGCCCCATTCACACTGAGCGATTTATGGAGCGATTTTTGCAGCGATATCGCTCATATTTCCGCGCTATATCGCTCTATGTAGCTTCACCAATACATTTCAATGTATCTGTTCACATCTCATCGCTCAATATCGCTCAATATCGCTTGTAGCTCGTCGCTGGTAGCTTGTCGCTCCTACATGACCCTTTTTTAGAGCGATTTTGAGCGATATTGCTCCTGATTGCATACAGCCCAATAGGAAGAAGTCGCGCGACACGTCGCTCAATGTCGCTCATCGCTCAATGTCGCTCAAAGTCGCGCGATTTCAATGTCGCTAAGTGTGAATGGGGTCTTAATCCTATGTAGAATAGCAGGGGCTCTGTACCATCGTATTAGGATTTTATATCCAGCTTCTTGAAATCTACTAGAGATAGAGGAATATTGTGAAAAATATAATATATCATTTCTTTGTTTCTCAGTAAACCGTCTTTGTAGATCTCTTTCCCACTTGCTGAGGAACAAAGGGCAAAACTGATCTGAAGGTTCATTAAGAAGATGGTATATCTTAGTTAAAGCATGCCTCAACATCCCTTTATCACTACACAATTTCTCAAAAGGAGTCAATGTCATTGTCCCATCGGATCTTCTAAGGGTCTGCAATAAACTATACAATTGGAGTATCTGCCATCTACATAAAATAGAAGAATAGCTCTTATATCGACGGTACTCCTTCTCGGTGCACAAATTAGTAGAATCTAAATTCCCTCGATCTCTTATATTTAAAAATTGTTTAAACATAAAATATTGTTGTGGTGTCCCTGCTTTTTAGGAAGAACCACTGGAAGGAAAAGAGACAGATTGAGGGATCATTTATATGATATAGTCTAAGAGAGGAACATAAATGTACCAGAACACTTTGCGAAGCACCACAACATAGATGTATCCTCAGGGAATAGAGGAAGTCAGGCCCTTTACGACTGGAGGAGATTTTTGTTTCCTACAGTTTCATGAGACAAATGTGTACTGGACTTTCACCCTGTGCACAAGAATCCCTAATGAATTTAACTAGGAATGGGACAATGGTTATTTCTATGAATGATGTGCATGCTTCTGCACAACTGAGGATGGATCTGCTTCAAAGGGCTGTTTTAGAGCATATGTATTTATTTGAAACAAATAACAGGCAAGTCCTGATTAAGAAATTGGAATTGTAGTACTGTATATACCAATTCTTTGTATTGGTGTGTGTATATTGTATGTTCTTAAGGGGTTTTCCAGCACTTGGTATGTTTTGATTTGAAATGGATAACTTTTCAGAGGCTGCTGGAGGGAGCTGTCCTGGGTTTGGGTAATACTCCACATAGACTGGCGAGATTTCTGAATGAAATCAATCTACAATTAAGTGGTACAGCATGGGATGTGTCACAGGGAAGTCTAACAGGTCTGATGTACTTTGTTGGATTGTAGTTGGAGTTTCATGCAGTGATGATCAGTTTGTGCCATTATCTCTTTTGAACACATTCATCAGTGGTAACTGGATTGGCATTCATTATACGATATCATATGATCTCCTGTTCTCCGCACTCCTATACAACACATAGTGGTTGCCATCATACCTTCCACACTCTTCTCCTGCACTTACTGCTCATAGTAATATCCTCTTGCAATCCCCCACCTGACATACTGTCTGCCATCATAACAACTGTACTCCCCTCTTGCACATACTGCCCATGATCATACCATCGTTACTCTTCTCCTGCTTATATTGCCCACTTTCATACCCTCAACATTCCTGTCTTGCTCCCCTTAAAACTGTCTGCACTCCTCTTGTGCACATACTGCCTGCCATCATACTCTTTTCACTTCTCTCTTGCAAATACAGTACTGCCTGCCATCATACTGTCCTCACTTCTCTCCTGCAGATACTAGTCAAAATCATACCTGCTGCACTCTTCTATTGCACATACTGCCCACTGCTATACCTTCTGAACTCCTCAACTGCACATACTTGCCACCATTAAACCACCTGCACTCTTCTCCTGCCTATAATGGCAACCGTCATACCATCCGCACTCCTCTCCATCATATCATTCGCACTCCTCTTCTGCACATACTGGCCATAGTCATACTATCAACATTCCAATCCTGCACATAGTGGCCATAGTCATACTCTTAACACTGATAACATGCATATCCTGCTTGCTGTCACATATATACAAACGCCAGCCCTGGACGCACTGCCTAAGGTAAAACCATCTGCCTAAGGTCATGTACTCCTCTTCTGCAACATGCTGCCCCAAAATACACATGGATACATTTCTATAATATAGAAGATTTCCAGAGCTCTATGAAGAGAAATATAAATCTCCTTTCAGGCATGCTGAATGTTATCATCATGAAAACACTGCTACATTCATAATATTACCAATAATGCCTGTGTGCAAAGGTTCTTGACAATGAAACCTTAGTTGAAAATTGTATATGTTCAAAAATAATGATGCATGTAGTGGCAGGCAGGATTTGCCCATATGTATATACTGCTTAGCAAAAATACCGGCCATTCTAACACATCAAAGAAGACTGGTGGAACTTTTTGTAGCTACTTTAAATAAACTTTGTGTACAAAAAATGGGACTATTGAAGGGATCAGTCCCTCCATGATTACCCACCATCTGGAATCGTCTGGTGTCAAATAGCAACCTTAGGATTTTTGAACATTTTAATTGATGCACAGACTGAAAAGACTGCAATATTCCCTATGCTGATTGTGTGATGCACTAAAAATCCTTCCACATTAGGCATGTAGTCTTGATTATCTGGGTTTAGAATCTAGTGATTTAGGACGCTAAACTATATGAAAGTACAGCTGTAGAGCCTTAACAATCTGGGTCATGCTAACACAGTATCTACATCAGACACAAAAACAGCGTGCTGACAGACACGGTACAGAAGAGTGTCTGATAGAAAATCACTACTAATTGTAAGAGCTGCTAAAAATCAAATCAAGCCCGCAATCAGGGAGACATAAACATTCCACAACATAATTATGAAGAAAACTGACAGCTTAACCAATCTGCTGGGAACATAGGATGTTTTTAGTGCTACATAACTTCCACTTCAGTATAACAAAAATAAGGAAGCAACATAGACGTATGTGAATGTCAAGCATGCTGAATGTGTTTTATTTGGGAAACCAGAAACTTTCACAGACAGTGGTAAAATACTCGTGGTAACTACAAAATTATTTAACACATTCGTTTCCCTATCATTGATTTAGAAGTCTGCATGATTACATTTCTGACATTTACATACATACACAATGAACAGCAACCATATAATTGCTAACAAAATGTACCTTATACCAGGGCTCAACAATACAGGTCCTGAGCTACTAGCCAGGCCTTAAGAGTTACTCGCCTTCAGTTGCCCCACTTAACCCCTATCCTGCCCTGGCCTTAACTCCGCCCCTAAACATACCCTTTTAAATGATCTTTGAAGGGGTTATTTAACACTGCCACTGACCACCAATGCAGGGGGAAGGGGTTAATTAACACTGCCACTGACTACCAATGCAGGGGAAAGGGGTTAATTAACACTGCCACTGACTACCAATGTGGGGGGTAAGAGGTTAATTAACACTGCTACTGACTACCAATGTGGGGGGTAAGGGGTCAATAAATACTACCACTGACCACCAATGCAGGGGAAAGGGGTTAATTAGCACTGCCACTGACTGCCAATGTGGGGGGAAAAGGGTTGAAAACCGTGCCACTGAGCACCAATGGTGGAGGAAAGGGGTCAATTCACATTGCCACTGACCACCAATGCAGGGGAAAGGGGTCGATTAACACTAACACTGACCACCAATGCAGGGGAAAGGGGTCAATAACACTGACCACCAATGCAGGAGAAAGGGGTCAATAACACTAACACTAACCACCAATGCAGGAGAAAGGGGTCAATAACACTGACCACCAATGCAGGAGAAAGGGGTCAATAACACTGACCACCAATGCAGGAGAAAGGGGTCAATAACACTGACCACCAATGCAGGAGAAAGGGGTCAATAACACTAACACTGACCACCAATGCAGGAGAAAGGGGTCAATAACACTGACCACCAATGCAGGAGAAAGGGGTCAATAACACTAACACTGACCACCAATGCAGGAGAAAGGGGTCAATAACACTGACCACCAATGCAGGAGAAAGGGGTCAATAACACTAACACTGACCACCAATGCAGGAGAAAGGGGTCAATAACACTGACCACCAATGCAGATGCAGGAGAAAGGGGTCAATAACACTGACCACCAATGCAGAACGAAAGGGGCTAATTAACACTACCACTGACCATCTATGCAGGGAGGGGGAATAAGTTGGATTAACAGCATTGCTACTGTCAACCAATAAAGGGGGCTTTAAATAGCACTGCCTCTAACCACCAATGTGTGTTTTATTATTGCAGTCACTGACACCAATGCTGGCGGTTATTATTGTGGCCACTGACATCAATGTCAGGGATTCAAATTGTGGCAATTGACACAAGCTAGGGGTTATTATTACATCGCCGGACACCAATGCTGGGGGTTATTATTACATACACTGATATCAACGCTGGGGGTTATTATTACATCGCCGGACACCAATGCTGGGGGTTATTATTACATCCACTGATATCAACGCTGGGGGTTATTATTACATCCACGGACACCAATGCTGGGGGTTATTATTACATCCACTGATATCAACGCTGGGGGTTATTATTACATCCACGGACACCAATGCTGGGGGTTATTATTACATCCACTGACATCAACGCTGGGGGGTATTATTACATTCACGGACACCAATGCTGGGGGTTATTATTAAATCCACTGATATCAACGCTGGGGGTTATTATTACATCGCCGGACACCAATGCTGGGGGTTATTATTACATCCACTGATATCAACGCTGGGGGTTATTATTACATCCACGGACACCAATGCTGGGGGTTATTATTACATCCACGGACACCAATGCTGGGGGTTATTATTACATCCACGGACACCAATGCTAGGGGTTATTATTACATCCACGTACACCAATGCTGGGAGGTATTAATGCGTCCACTGACATCACCGCTGTTTTCTTCAGTATACCAGATTGTAAGCCCCCAGGGGAGGGCCCTCCTTACCATCTTGTCTTGATTTGTATTGTGGCTGTAATGTCTTCCCTATATTGTAAAGCGCTGCGCAAACTGTTGGCGCTATATAAATCCTGTATAATAATAATAATAATATACCTGTACTAATGTCTGTATGACAATGTGTTTTAAAACAGAAAATAAAGATTATGTATAAAAAGGCAAAAAAAAATGCACATATTTAGTACGTTTCTGGAAAACATACAAATGTCCCCATGTTCTATCCATTTCAGCATGCTGCAAGTACAGAAAAATAACTGTTGATGTTCCGGAAATATAGTATGTTCCCACCTTCCTTTTTGACATGACAACACAGTGAGGGGAATTTATCCAAACTGGAGCAGACAGAATTTGGAGCAGTTGACCATGGCAACCAATCAGCATCTCTCTTCAGTTTGCTCAGGTAAGATTTGAAAATAAAAACAGAGAAGCTGACTGGTTGCCGTGCTCCAGCTTTTGGCATCGCCAGCTTTGATAAATTCCCCTCACTGTATGTTCATCACTGAAGCAGATGGTGTCAGCCCTGTCTACTTCATTTCTGGTGCATGATGATACAAAGAACACAGCCCTCTCCTTATGTCCTCCTCTCCTCATCTCCATAACCCCTCCTTGTACACAGACACAGGAAGTTATCAGCTCACAGGTTTTCTGATAAAACCATCAGGTATGTTTTGTACTTATGAAACAGATATAATAAGACATGTTCAATGGTATATTTAGGAGACCAAAAGAGCAAATAAGAGAAGTTTATTGCTGGGGGTTACATACACTTTAATCTGTTCCTGTGTATTTTACCTTACCAGAAGAACCATGGGCTTTTTCCATGTAGTTAGTCCTATAATGCCAGACAAAATAACCTGCAATACAAATAATATTCACAGTTAGGATCAGTACAGAGCAAATCTTAAAAGTGTATTTCCACTTCTGCAGCCAGATTGGGATAACATCTATTTTATATTTGTGACATGTTCCCATTCACTTAGCATAAGCTAAAAAAATAGCTTACATTGATTTTACTTGGGTTAAGGTTTCTTGACTTCGTAACAGTTAAACTTTTTGCTTGCTTCTCTTCCTTTGTAATGTTAGGAGGGGTTGTAATGGGTGAGGGTTTTTTTCCATTATAATTTGTAAAGTGGATTTGAACACTGCCTGTCTTAAGAAAGGGTTAAAAGATTACAACCCTGGCTTCTCCATTGTATGTTAATTAAAGTTAGAAAAACACAATCGTCAAATTTCAATTCTAACAGGGTTATTCACAAAAGGGTGATGAGTTAAAAGAAGGCAGGAGAAGTGATAATCTAGGACAACATAGCTGAACTGGAAAGTGAGCTAAATTGGAGAATTTCTCCAAATCAGCTATGTTGTCCTAGATTGTTCGCTTCTCCTGCCTTCTCCAAACTCTTCACTCTTTTGTGAATAATCCTTTAAGTCTTTCTATAAGGATAGATCTGTGAAGGTGCTAGAAGCAGCCATCTTGCCTGCTACAACAAAACATCTAAAAAGGTAAAAAATGAGGGACGCACTGAAATGTCGGCCGCCAAAACATATCGGCCGAAATTGGCACTTTTGGCAAAATGCAGAAAGTGTCATCTTTCGGCCAAAATAGCGGTACATCCTTGTTTTCTCTCCTCCCCGCTGGGCGCTGCTCTGTGTCCCCTCTGACACAGCACAGCGTCCAGCAGGGAGGAGAGGAACTGTCACAGGAGGCCGCGCCGTGCGGGGGAGGAGAGCGATGTGAGCGGTGGGCGTCTCTCCTCCAACACTGCTCAGCCTCCTGTGACTGATTAGGAGAGCGGCGGTGTGGGGGCGGAGACAGCTGTCACAGGAGGAGGAGCTCTCCCCCCGCACCGCTCCACTCAGCCTCCTGTGACAGATCAGGAGAGCGGCAGTGTGGGGGCGGAGACAGCTATCACAGGAGGCTGAGCTCTCCTCCCGCATCGCTCCTGTGACAGATCAGGAGAGTGGTGGTGTGGGGGCAGAGACACCTGTCACAGGAAGCCGGGCCGGCGATGCAGGGGAGGAGTCAGCTGGCAGAGGAGTCCAAGCTCTCCTCTCAGTCTGAAAATATGGGAATGTCCAAAAACTCTGAGTTATCAGAGATACAGGAATAGAGGGAATTCCTAACAGAAGAATTCCCCTTCCCCAACAAACTGGTGAGCAATTTCCTCTAACTTTCGGTGGCATCCTGGGACAAGACGTAAATAGAAATCGCCAAAAACTAAACCCATATATAGCGCAAACTAAGCTGATGGGGGGGTTAACCTTACCCATTCTATCAATAGCTACAAAATGTTTGTATATATGTGAGCCTGTTGCTTTGCCCTGAATGTTAAAAAATCAAAGGTTTTCTTTAAAGGAGAACTATGAGGTGAGTGATTTCCACTCATCCTCATAGTTAGAGCCGACCTGTGATACTGAAACTGCCACTGTTGGTTCTATAGATCGGGAAGTGAGCGAACACATACCATTGCTCGCTCACTTGCCAAACATCTCCCTGCAGTGACTGTCAGTCACCGCACCCCGCAAGGATTCCCCCCTCCCCTCTTCGATCCTCCAGCACTGAGTGGAGGGACAGACAGGGGCGGGCACAGCTGGCTTTGCCTCTGGATAGGCAGAGTCTGCTGTCAATCAGCCAGCTGGGCGGATCCAGACATAATTGTCGGGATCCGTCCTAGCTGCGGCGCTCTCAGCATATCACGGGCAATAGCCTGCTATATACTGAGTTTTGGGTCACTAGAGGACATTAGTATACAGGTGAAACTCGAATAATTAGAATATCGTGCTAAGTTCATTTATTGCACTAATGCAACCTAAAAAGGTGAAACTAATATATGAGATAGACTCATTACATGCAAAGCAAGATAGTTCAAGCCGTGATTTGTCATAATTGTGATGATTATGGCTTACAGCTCATGAAAACCCCAAGAACCCCAAATCCACAACCTCAAAAAATGAGAATATTACATGCAATCAATAAAACACGGATTGTACATAGAACAATATCGGACCTCTGAAAAGTACAAGCATGCATATGTACTCAGTACTTGGTTTGGGTCCCTTTTGCAGCAATGACTGCAATTACTTTTGCACGATATTCTAATTATTCGAGTTTCACCTGTATGTCCTCCTGTGACCCTGAGAAGAACTATGGGGAAAAAAGGTTGCTCCATAGTTCTCTTAAGTCAAAGGGTAAAGTGCAGTGTTGTCTATTATATCAGAATAACGCTATCAAGGCAAAGATATCCTTGAACAAAGAGATCTTCATCATTATGAGAATAATACTAAACTGAATTAAAGACTGCACGAGCCACTGCCAGTACTGACTCTCCATTCTTCCTCACAGTGATCAATGTGCTATGGTGACCTCACTACCATGTACCACAGACCTCTCTGACTACTAATCATTACAGGGACACACACTGACCCTAACAACAAAACAGAAGAAACAATGCGGTTGACCTGTAAACTAATTTTAACAATGACTCATGGACAGCAAAACAAAAAAAGCTCATGAGCCATTATTCCTAATAAAAAGAAATGCTGAGACCAGCCTTTTATAAATCAGCAGCACAGGTTTACATTTACATTGTCTATCAGACGCTCTGGTTCCTATGAACAGTAACCTAACATAGCAAAGTCACTTGTAGCATGTCCTGGAATGTACCAGATAGATAGATAGATAGATAGATAGATAGATAGATAGATAGATAGATAGATAGATAGATAGATAGATAGATAGATAGACAGGAGAGGAATAGATATATAGATAGATAGATAGAAAGATAGATAGAAGATAGACAGACAGGAGAGGAATAGATAGATAGATAGACAGACAGGAGAGGAATAGATAGATAGATAGGATAGACAGGAGAGGAATAGATAGATAGAAGATCGATAGATAGATAGATAGATAGACAGACAGGAGAGAGATAGATAGATAGACAGGAGAGAGATAGATAGATAGATAGACAGACAGGAGAGGAATAGATAGATAGATAGACAGACAGGAGAGGAATAGATAGATAGATAGATAGATAGATAGATAGATAGATAGAGATAGATAGACAGGAGAGGAATAGATAGATAGATAGATAGATAGATAGATAGATAGATAGACAGACAGGAGAGAGATAGATAGATAGATAGATAGATAGATTGATAGATAGATAGATAGATAGATAATAGACAGACAGGAGATAGATAGATAGATAGATAGACAGACAGGAGAGAGATAGATAGATAGATAGATAGATAGATAGATAGATAGATAGATAGATAGACAGGAGAGGAATAGATAGATAGATAGATAGATAGATAGAAGATCGATAGATAGATAGATAGATAGATAGATAGATAGATAGATAGACAGACAGACAGGAGAGAGATAGATAGATAGATAGATAGATAGATAGACAGGAGATAGATAGATAGATAGATAGACAGACAGGAGAGAGATAGATAGATAGATAGACAGACAGGAGAGAGATAGATAGATAGATAGATAGATAGATAGATAGATAGATAGATAGATAATAGATAGACAGGAGATAGATAGATAGATAGATAAATAGATAAATAGATAGATAGATAGACAGGAGAGAGATAGATAGATAGATAGACAGACAGGAGAGGAATAGATAGATAGATAGATAGATAGATAGATAGATAGATAGATAGATAGATAGATAGATAGACAGATGAGTGCTTTCAGGAGCAGACTTTCCCTCCATGACCCTCCATGAGTGGTATTAATAAAGAATAATACAGAAGATGTCATGTGACACATTGTGGGTCCATTTCCTGTGAGTCTTCCACAATACAATTACTATGTGTCTGTCCTGCAGGCTTGTCCCCAGCTGTCACTCATGTCACAGCAGCACACACTCTGCTCCTTTAAAAACAATCCAACAACAAAAGTCTCACAATGAAAACTAATTCCAACAAGTGATCTAGTGTAGCGAGTGCCAAGCACAGAGGGGGATCTGCAGAGAAAGGGGGGGTACTCACCGACGATCCAGCCCAGAACGGGCACGAGCTCCTGATCTGGGGGTTCTTGCTGAGTGACAGTGCCCCAAAACTGAGGGCCACCGTGCAGCATCCCAGGATGAGCTGTAACAAGCCCAGGGAGAGCAGAGGTCTGCCAGGCAGGGTGAGTCCAGAGGCAGCTCGGCGCCTGCTGCTAACAGGAGTGGGTGGAGGAGGGGGACAGAGACCCAGGGAGGCTGAACATCTTGGGGGTTGTAGTAGCCCTCGGGCCCTGCGCGGCCGGTGCTGAGAAGGGTCCCCAGCCGGTGAAGTGGGGGCTGCATTGCCCATAGAAGAAGATAAGCCAGCCATGGGACAACAAGAGCCAGGAAGCAGCACTGGCAGAGACATCATTGGGAAGGGGAGGGTAGCAGCAGTGCTGGAATAGAGAGGGGAGGGGGGCTGGAAACCTGATCAGACAGAAAACAGCCCAGCTATTACCATCTTGTGATATGGCACAGCCATGTTCTGATTCATCTCCTCCTCTGCATGCTCCTATCATCTCCTTCCCCACACTCTGCTCTCCATGCCTTACTTCCTGAAAGCTTTCTTCTTCTTCCTTTCCCTGCCTCCTCCCTCCCTGCCTTCTCTCTAGACGACTATCCGACATGGAAGTTTCAAAATAACTCCAGTCATCAGGAGGAGGGGGTGGCGGGCAGCCCTTGTGTGTCACATATTTGGCATGTGTACAAACAGGGCGCTGGATCAGCGTTACACTTTCCAATGGAGGCTTCCCATCACACCGATCAGGAGTGGACACCTCCGCTTTTCTGACCTCCCCCCATGGCTTATTTAAAGACCAACTCCAGACACCAAAACTTTCATTCCAATATAATCTTTCATGGCCACAAATGATATAAATCCACTTTGTGGCCATCAAATGCCTTTACAGAGACAAATATTACCTAGTAAAAGTAGTGGTGATATCACTACTGGGCTGTACATAGCCAGTGCAGAGAGCAGAGCTGTGAGAAGGGCCCAGCAGGCTCCAGTCACTATAGAAAACTACAAGAGGGGTGGAGACAAGACCAGTCACCCTGCACAAGGAGAGAGAAGAATACTGACTGGTCTTTATTACAGGAAGCTCCTTCATAGAGGCAAAGTTTCACACTGGATTACTGCACAGATCTGGAAGAAATACACAAAACACACCAAGATTCATGAAAGAATACACATGACTCTTGTATTTTCACAATATTCGCTTTTCCCAGAGTCCAGCTTTAACCCTTTCGCTGCCAAGGCGTTTTTTTGCACACGTTTTAATCCACATTTTAGGACTGAAAATGACTTAAAACCCCCAAAACATCTCTCTCTCTCTCTCTCTCTCTCTCTCTATATATATATATTTATTCTAAAAGAACAGACCCTGTAGAATAAAATGGTGACAGTTGCAAATTTTTACGTCGCACAGTAGTAACGCAGCTCTTTATCAAACCCAAAATTGTAGTAAAAAATACACTTAAGTTAATTGAGTTCATTAGGTTAGTGCCCAAAATACAATATAATACTAATTTTTAATAAAATATATTAAAAAAGATGTTACAACAAGCAAATGGATACCCAAGATCCCCAGGTAAAAAAATTGTGTGTGCCTGTGAAACAGCGACAAAATACAGTACCCCATATTGTCCATAGGCGATGTTTTATAAACCGGTCATCAGTTTAGAGATATCCGGAATATTGGCCCCAGAATAATTGCTCTCACTCTAGTGCACACGATGATACCTAACGTGTAGTGCAACCATTGTTAACGAACATAGGGCCACCTCGCCTAAGGCCCCGTTCACATGTAGCGACTTATCGCACGATTTCTGCCGTGATATCGCGCATTTTTGCCGCGCGATATCGCGAGAAGTCGCCGGCTAATGATAGTCAATGGAGCTGTCTTAGCTCCATGTCGCTCGTCGCGGTCGCAAGTCGCTTCTACCGGACCCTTTTTTCGGTGGATTTTGCGCGATTTTGCTTTTTTTATATGGAGCCCGACGGAGAAGGTTGCGCTACCGTCGCTGGAACGTCGCCCCGAAAGTCGCGCTATCCCGGCCGCTGCAAAGGTATGTCGCTACATGTGAATGGGGCCTAAGGAGACACGCCTGCCACACTTGAAAGTAGGATGGGAAGGGAGGCTACGGGGTCATGTGACTACTGGCATCCATCAAGATGCCTCATCAGTGACGAGCAAGTGAGGGACAGGGAGGCAGATGAACACATAGCTCAGTGACCGGGCCTGGCGCGGGGTGGGGGCCTCACCTGCCACTGACCTCACTGCATGTCCCTGAATCACAAACAGTTTAATCATAGGTAAGGGGTATTGAACTAAGAGTTATTTGGAAGGGCCACTTCTCTATTATTGAGGCAGTTTATTCCACCTCGTTGTGCACACCTAGAATTTCATATTCATCTATCATCTCCTTGTTGTTGCAGTGACATGGGATTGTACAAGTAGTTGTAAACATGGCAGTGGTGCCAGGACTGCATTTGGCAGGAGACATGAACTCCTTCATCCAGCTTTGTACAGATGTAAGGAGAAAGCATGCCTGGCTGATCGTTTTAATAACTAAACTTGGATATGTGCACATATTGTTATTTCCATGCCAAGAGACTGGGCAGTCTGTGTGATGACATTGGTACATATTTTAACTTTGAAAAGTGTATACTGTTCTTCTGTAAAATAAGCAAGTCATAGCACATTTATTAACTCTAACTGGATGGCAATACGGAAACAAGCATGTATTTTTACATTGCCTAGGACATTTTACAGGACAGACATCTAGAATGATCCAAGATGCTTGCCTGATACTAATGATCAATAATAACGATAATGAATGCATTTCTATTGTGTGTGATCATATACATCTACATATTGCCATAAACAATTAAACAATTGGAGCACATTTGCGCGGTGAATTTAGGGAAATCCTTGTAAATACAATAAAAGATAAGATCAAATGTCCACCAATGCTGGTGAATTTAGATGAACAAGTACAGTATGCCCCTTGAAGATTGTTACAAAGGCAGGTGTAATATGTACAACATTCGGAAAGGGTCCTGGAAACCAAAGCAGTTAGCATTTCAACATCATCTTCTGTGCTTGTTTCACATTTCTCTATTCTATAACAGTCAATGGTTCATTTTTTTTAGATTGTTAGAAAAAATATTCCACTTTGTTTGTTTCCATAGTTCAGGGTAAAGCATGGTTATCTAACCCGGGATAGCACACTGAAATTTAGCTGCAGCCTTGAATGTCACTTAACTTTTTCACATAAATGAACCCCTGTCCAATATTCCCATTTTTTACACACATGCTCAAACACTCATTATTGACTTGAAAAATGTACTAAAGCAGAGGATCTTTAGAATAAACAAATGGTAGTCACAATGTTATATGTCACACAATATTGTGCAACTGTTTATAAAACTTACTGTCAATTTTCAGTAAAAACACTCTAAATGTTCGGCACACAAACACAAAAAAGTCTGAAAAATTTGAACTAGATGGAAAAGATGAGTTTGCTTCCAGTTAATACATTTACAAATATATACTGTATACTGTAAATAGGCGAAAGATTAAAAACCTTTACAGCTCTTTACCTTAAAGTTAAACCTAAATGGTCTTATAATTATTATTCTACCTCTGGTGTGTATGTGGATACCTAGTATGTGTTGCACTATAGCCATTTATGTATACTGTATATGTACATACTGTGTGTTTGCTTATTATGTAGGTGTGTTCCGTTATATTGGGGGGGTGTAATGTTTTAAATTATTTTATCATGTTTATTTGTTTTATCTGTCTCTCTCTCTCTCTCATTTTTTCCATCTTATTTTACTATCTCAAGCGAGCTTCAATTCTCCTTATGTGAAAAAACAGAGGCAGTTACAGGTACTGTTCAAGGAGACATCATGGGTCTATGAGACCTTATATGTAATGTTTCATTTGTCTCCAGTTTGCAGGTTAATTTAAGACAGTGGAGATTTCCTCCTAGTCTTCTCATCAGTGAGTGAGTTCGACTCGAATAGGCGAGTGCACGAACTGTCAGGGCGTTCGGCGCACTGTTCGCCCACCGACGCCCCACAAGGCTCTGTGCCTTGTGAGTCTTGATTGGCTAAAGCCTTGCACCTGACCACAGGTCAGGTGCAAGACTTTGCCCATTCAGGGCACAGAGATCGGTGAGAGCCATGATTGGGCAAAGTCATGATGACTCTGCCCAATCATGGCTCACCTGTTACAACTGTAAACAGTTGGGCGGAACTAGCTGTCACAGCTAGCTCAGGCCAATTGTTTATAAGTTGCCGGCAACTGTCAAAATGCCATTCTGCGGCGGGTGTTCGTCGCAGCGGAAGGGACGGCGGTCGTTTTTTTTTTCTAGTAATTTTTTATTGTTGTATTTTTTTATTTCATCGAGTTGTCATCCTGGTCGTGGAGAACGATGGAAGTCGTGATTTGACGCTGGATTACGTCGGTGGATCCATTTTAAAAATAAACATAAAAGACTTGCTCCCTCGTGTGTGTCCTCCCCACCCCCTTCCAGCCCTGCGCTCAGATCAGGGGTCTGGTTGGTAATTTTAGGGCGGAAATTTTTCATTGATACATGTCCCCCAGGGCAGTACCCGAATCCCCATACACTTTATATGGCCAATAATTTGCATATAAGCCTTCAAAATGGGGACATTTGATTTTCAAAGTTCTACCCCCATAGACTTGCATTGAGTTTGAGTACGAATTCGAACTTTTCCTGTGTTCGATTTCGTACCGAACACAGGGGTGTTCGGCCCATCAATAATCCTGAATCCCTCTGAAGCAGCCCCAGACTTAAAGTGTATGTAAACCCTAACCATGAACTTTTCTTATTTGTTTCCTTTTTGGTCTGTTAAAGACACACTCTGGACAAATGATAATTTGCATACCGCACTGGATGTATAAATTATCATTTAAATACTGTGCTGCAAAGTATGAAAATCTTTCCTGCACATAATGACCAGCTTCCAGGCACTGAAGAAAGGTAAATATGTGACTCGAGCAGTACATTGCTCCGGTCGCATCACCTTTCCCCATCTCTGTATGTACTGTGCTGGTCAGTGGTATCAGTGCTCCTTTACTATGAATTGCATTGTGGCGCAACTGGGTACCACCCATTGCATTCAAAGTGAATAGACCCAACAGCTGTGCCAGCAACAAGTTCTGTTGTGATTTAGCTGTTGCTGGTTCCCCCTTTTTGGGGGGAAAAAATTACAAAAAAGGGTTTGGAGTTCTATGGTTGCACTGCTGTTGGCCTGCCACCATTACCATCTCCTGCCACTGCTGCTGGCCTGCCTCGTGTCAGCGTTACTTATCTCCCTCGCTCCAGCATTGTTTCTGCCTCTATGTGGGCATCCATTAGTAAAACTTGGCCTGTCACAAAACATGAAAAACTCCACAGTGCTTGCTGGACACATCATTGACCTTGCCTTCTCTAACCTTTGTAGCAATACTTATCCAAAACAACTTTACTTTTTCACTCTCTAATGATAATAATCATCTAATGTTTGAATGTAATCTATCATAATCATCTAATGTACTTATAGGTGGGTCCGGAGTACTGAGTCAATTACTGGCTTTTTACATGTCTTGATACTCCAACAGCAAGATCTCTCTGACA